CCCCCCCCCCCCCGCCACCCAAAACACCTGACTGACAAGTCGCCGAAGTCACCCCCACCTGAGGTGCGCCGCAAAATAACCCCAATCCAAAACACCAAGAAGTGAATGAAAAAAAACTCTGTAGACAAAAGGGCACCATGACTCATCTTGGAAGACATCCAATCAGCTCGGAGCTTGGATGGTGCAGGAAAGAACCAGCAAAGTATCTTGTGCAAACACACTCGCATGTAATCGGCTAGAATGTTTGTCATCAATCGCTGCTGTTACACACCTTATAGGAGGGAAAGTCCGTCATCATAGACTCCTGCCACCCCCACCGTCATTGGCTGTAAAAATCAGCATCAACGGCTGCCACTCCCACTCAAATAGGGTGGAATGCTCACCATCACTGGCTGCTTCATCTATGGTAGGCTGGAATGTCCATATCACTGGCTTGTGCCACTCCCGCTATTATAGGCTGGAAAAACCAGCATAGCTGAGAATGTCCATCACTGGTCGCCACTCCCGCGCTACCGCAGCCTGGAATTGATATCACCGGCTGCCGCTCTCCCTTCTAGGCCGGAACGGTCATCACCGCCGGCTGCCACTCCGACTATTAGGCCGGAATGTTCATCGTCACCGGCTGCCACTCCCACTCCGTCCACCCCTTGTTTGTGAGCAACAGCGGGGGGGGGAGGCCCTCCTTCCTCGCCGCCCACGGCAGCAATATTCTCGGCCGCCTCAAAACGAACGCCGCCGCCCCGGCGTCCTCCTCGGCATCCGTTCCCCCCACTGCCGGCGAGCCCGGTGGCTTTCTGCCCCCCGCCATCTCGGATCCATCAACCCCGGCCCCGGCGCCCTTGTCGTCGACCTCATCCCCTCGTTGCCCGGCAGGCCTCTCGGGGCTTGGTGCTTCCACCGGTTCGCTCTTGGCTATAGGTGGTTCTAGTCGGGAAGACGAGTCGGCGTCTGTGTGCTGTTGTTCCAACGAAGGGGTATCGTCTGAAACCGAGGTATTCCTGGGCGGCGGCGGCGGCGGCGACGGCGGCCGGGGGGACGGGGTGGCTGGTTCTGGCACACCGACGTCGTGGGGAACGGCCTTGCCGAGCTGGGGGAGCCTGTACAGCTCGGGAGGAGCAGGGGGAAGTGTCCCCCATTCGTGCGTTCCCCGCCACCGCTGCTGCTGATGCTGCCGCCGTTGATTCAGTCGATGCCGATCGAGCTGCTGCTGTAGGTGATGCTGCTGCCGCTGCTGCTGGTACTGGCGCGGTAGTAGCTGGTGCGCAGCTTCTTCTTCGCCGCCCATCATGTGGGCGGGTCCCCCGCCGACCCGCATCTCCTTCTCCCCGTGAAACGGATAACCCGCGGGGAAATTCCGGGTGCTGTCGCGGTTGGCCGTGTGGCGAAGACGAGGGCCATCGCCTGCTACGCCTATGCTGCCGGGGTGGTGTTGGTCTACTGGCCAATCACCGGCGGCATCGTGGCGCGAATCCCCCCACTCTCCCATCCCGGAGGAAACCGAGGACCCCACGGAATTCGGTCGACCGGCGAGGTCGACGCCTTCGGGGTGCTGCGGCTGCTGCTGATGCCTGCCTGCACGGCCGATACCAACCCCCCCCTCTCCTCCCACCCCCGAGGTGGGCGCCATTTTCCTCCGCCCGCTGCTCTGATTGTTGATGTTCACCATCCCCTTCGCTGCGTGGCCCGCGCAGAACTCCCGCTTGTTGGTGCCCGCGACGCCGTAGTTGGCCCGCTTGCTGCAGCCCTCCTTGGCGCACCTCCGGCCGCCGATGGACACCATGCCTCGCTCCGCGTGGGCGGCGCAGTACTTTCTCTTCTGGCCAACGACGCCGTAGGAGGCGGAGGTGAAGCAGCCCTCGAACGGGCACAGCTTTTTGTCGAGCTTCACCATGCCGTCCTCCGCGTGCTTCGCGCAGCACCTGGGTGAGGGGATCCAAGAGGCAAAGCATGTGTATATGTGTGCATGTGTGTGAACGGCTGCCGGAATCGTCGCAACAATTGCTTGGAACAGCCTTGACAAAGAAAAACAAGGCTATTCTTTCCTCACAGCTAGACGTTCACTTGTATGGCGTGTTGGACACAGCACCTGGATGGGACCAAGCAAGCAGGTGTGTTCGTGAAGGATCGTACGATCGCAAGAGAAAAATTACAACGGCTACCGGATTCGTTGCAGCATCTGGACCGAGAGGCGTGTGATTGAAGAACGACTACGAGAACAAACAAGAGGCTACTGTACTACCGCATTGGTCGACATGGGCGTTGCTTCCATGGGAATGAGAGGTTGGTTGCATGACGTTAGATATCACACCCCTGGACCGAGTTTCAAAGCTCGATTACTCCACGACGAAGGATACCAAAGGAAGGTCTTACCACCGGATTCGTTCGCAAGCGATGGATGTTTACCCACACTGATACTGCTGCGATGAGGTATGAAATACCAAGAGGCGTGTGAGTTCATAAACGAAATGCGAGAGACAACCGCAACCGGATTCGTCACAGCAGTGCTTCGCGCAGCACCTGGGTGGGACCAACGAGAACAAAAAAAAAGGGTTCACCCAGCACCTCTGCATAATTTACAGCGTGGGAACAAGCGTAAAATCTTTTGAGACAAGAAACGGCGACGTCTCGATGGAGATGCACCCTCATCTCGCTTGAAATCGGGGACGGCAGTAGTCAGTCAGGCGTCAATCCGGTGTGATCAGCCAGGCCTATTTGGCGTTTTTCATAAGGTGCCTGTGGTGTGCCAAAATTAGTTGGATGAGTAGAGGTCTTCCTCTAAGTGAAAAACCTTTCATTGCCACTACAGTATGTGCCCTACCCTGCAAATATGGTGCAATATGTTCGTGCAGGTGCTTGATGGTGCTGCTGCCAGCGAAGTATCGTGTTACCGCACCGAAAAGAAAGACCCCTCGTCCGGTCGGGGCAAAGAGCAACGTGGCAAAGAGCAACGACGCAAAAGCGCGATCACCACTCGTCTCCCAATACGTGTTGCCTACTGAGGGAGGAAAACGACTGAATGCACATACGCATCTCAATTGCAACCTTGGGATAAGCTTCGGCGCGACGCCCCCCAGAGGGAGAAAATTATTTGCTGGTCGAAAATTCAACATTCCAGTCCATCGGTACAAGCTTCGGCGCTGTGGCTTTTCCATTTGCTCTCTCTCTCTGCCGTCCGCGAGCAAAACAATTTTTCGAGAAGTTGCGCAAGGAGCCAAACAGCCGCCTCCGCTTCCAATACTACTGTGATATTCACCTCATAGCACAACATATGTTGACGCCAAAGAAGCGCGGCATACATCGCATGGCTACAGCAGGTGGCCCGATTATTGTGGCATGTAGGGGCAAGAGGAGAGTATGCCACTATTCGATCGTCTATCGCGTTCATGTACATGTTGAAGTAATTGGGACAAGAGATTTTGATGCCGTTAACAAGCAGCAGGTCCACTATTCAAGATGCCACTTGCTACTGTACCTCTCAACACCGCAACCCTCCGCTCACCCTCGCTTTGGTTTGCCGGGTGCCAGGAGGCCAAGTTGTCACTTTATCGGGCCACCTACTCCCACTACCGCAACCCTCCGCTCACCTCCGCTTACGGTTGCCCGGGTGCCAGTAGGCCGGCAGGGTGAGGCAGTCCTCCACGGCGCACTTCCTGCGCTCGATGTTCACGGTGCCCTGGGGAGCGTGCTTGCCGCAGAAGGTCCTCCGTCCCGTTACGGGATCACCGAACGTCGCGCGGGTGTCGCAATCAAGCCTAGCGCACCTTCAAGAAGGAGGCAGCAACCAAAGAGGCAACGGAAAGGCGGCGCGTAAACGAAACCAAGGGTTAAGGTAAGCCTAGCGCATCTTGAAGCAGGCCCCAGCAACGAGGCATGTAAAGGCGGCGCGTTTTTGGAACCAAGGTGAAGGTAAGCCTGGCGCGCCTTCAAGACGGCAAGGGACATGGAACGGAGGTCAAGGTAAGCCTAACGCGCCTTGAAGAAGGCCGCAACCAAAGAGGTAATAGAACGGCGGCGTGCTCCTGAAACCAAGGGCAAGGTGTAAACCAAGGGAAAGGTGTAAACCTAGTGTGCATTGGACACGGCACAGGAATGAAACGAAGGCCAAGGTAAGCCTAGCGCGCCTTGAAGGAAGGCCGCAACCAAAGAGGCAATGGAAACGCCGCGTGTTTCTGAAACCAAGATCAACGCAAGTCTTCAAGAGCGGCGGCAACCAAAGAAGCAATAGAAAGGCGGCGTGTATCTGAAACCCAAGTACGCCTTCAAGATGGCAGAATGAACGGAAAGAGGGTCAACGTGAGCCTTCAATAGCAGCGGCACGAAAGGGCGGCATGTTCTAAAAACCAAAGTCAAGGTACGCCTAGCACACCTTCGGAGGTGTTGTCCGTATGAGGGCATAGCCCGTTTAGAACTTGTTCCTGTCGTCGCAGATCATATTTACACGTATGCGCGTTTTATCACCTCGTGAGGTCTATGCTAACCGTTACTATTTCTGTTGCATGGAGCAACCGACCTTTGAAATTAGGTCCAGGGGGGGTGCGGTCACCTCCACAAAACGGTGGTAGTTAACATGAGCTCAACATGAAGGAGTGAGGAGGGGGGGTACTCATAGTCGTGCATGCCGTAGTCGTTAGACCATTGACCTCGCATCCCTACAAACCCGAGACGGAGCACGCCGGGTTCTCACCGGACCAGGCTCTTTCATCACCAAGCAAGAAGCACCGTGAGGTATTCGGCGATTCGCATGAAGGATGCGCTGCACCCTGCTGAGGGTGTCCGACATCTTGTACATACTGCAGTGCGTACGGATGACAGCTGCGTATGACTTAATTTATTTTCTGGTGCATTAACTTCCAGGGTACTTGACCAATGTAACACAACGTGGTGCAGTCATCCGCTTTGCGCGGAGTGAGGCTCTCGACCCCGCATAACATTATCTACTCGACCACCACTATGGTTACCGCAAAGCAAAAAGAAAGAGGCAAAACAAAAAAGGGGTAACCTGGTCCGAGCTCACTAAATGATCGGCTGATTTTACAACGTCTTTGCCAAGCAACGAAAACCTAACCCCGATGACAAACACCGACGGGGGGGGTGGGTCTATCATTTTGCATGCCGTCACCTATACGGTACTGAACGTGAGGACGGGAAGGGACTGAATATTATTCCTGGATGGAGCACCCGAGCTTTGAAGAACATCCTTGCTCAGAGGGGGGGGGGGGGGGGGG